CACTTGGGCGGTGTCTACAAAAGCCTTATGTATGGGCGCGGTTTCGGGAAAGATTTTCAGTCGCTGCGAGAGAAAGACGGTGAAAGCAAAGCCGCAAAAGACTTTAAGGGTGAGCCATTCATCTTGGAGCGAGTCTCTGCGTCAGGGGATGAACGCAATCCGCCACATGTCGAGCCACAAAATGCAATGCTGCTGCAACATGGAAAAGCACGCCTATAATATATACCTGAACAAGGACGAACCACGCCTAAAGTTTATCCGTACCACGAAACCATTTTTCATATTTTTCCTGCGCAGCAGAGAAATGCGTCGCTTTGTGCAAGCTCACGTTTTGTCTTTTACAGCGCGACGTTCGATCCTAAATGGCGCATTATTGTTGTTAATGTTACAAACACCGTTGACTGCGTAATTATTCGTGATAATATTATTGTTGAGCATTGGGAGGGCTTGTAGGTCCATTGTCATTGCTTTCTTCAACGATTCGAAAACAAACATTTATACCATGTGATTTATGTTTAGAAACACTTTCTTAATTTCCTTTTATATTTTATATTTTATATTTTATTGAGCTCGTAAATAGAAAGTATATTTAATACGAATACATTTGGTCATTATGAATACGAGCTTAAAAGTTTTGGGTTTCAATAATCGGTATGTGAGTTGTATGGGAATGAATACACGCACGCACGCACGCACGCACGCGCGCGCGCACACATGTATGTATTATTCGAATTTTTAAACGATGTAAAATAACAATGGTAAATGAACAAGGGACTATTGCCGAATGGCCCAATAATTTGTCCAATAATAAGCAAAATAATATATGAGAATTTCTTATTTTAATAATAATGATGTTTTTGTACTAATGAATTATCATGGGTATAAAATAATTTTTCAATACATCAAACTGATTAAAAATTAATTGTACAATCGACGCATGCGAACAGATCTCTTAATCTTACGTTTTGTCTCCCTGTTTACAATTTATTTTTATTTTTATTTTTTTAATTTTTTTAATAATTTAACAGAACGCTATTGTATATAAGAAAAGGGAAGTGGCACAAAAAGTTCATCCATTACATGTTTATAGCGTTATGTTCCTTTTTACATTTATTCTTGGCTATCTAGTATACTATCAAAATATAGTATAATATAATTATCTTTATGTTAATTTATACGGCATTATATTGAAAATTAAGTTTTTGTCTCAAGTTTACGATGAATACACGTTTTGAAATTTTAAAGCTGTATAATGAATTTTCTAGTTAAGCTTTACATTATAAGCTAATGTTATTTTTAGAGCATAATTTCTCTGTTACAGCGCCAAAAGCCTACTATCGAATAATAAAAAATAATATGCATTCTCGTGTTTGTTTCAGGATCAGATGCGAGCTGGTGAGTAATATTAACTTATTTTTGTATGTGATATTAATGAGAAGTATCAATGATTGACATTGGTTATATTAATTGCTATTTGTGATGTAAATTAATACTGTGATAATTATCCATTACGAGACAATAAACGTTTACAAAGACACTAAGAAGAAAAAAGAAGATGAAAAAGATGAAGAAGAAGAAGAAGAAGAAGAAGAAGAAGAAGACGAAGAAGAAGAAGAAGAAGTAGAAGAAGTAGAAGAAGAAGTAGTAGAAGAAGTAGAAGAAGAAGAAGGAGAAGAAGTACAAGGAGAAGAAGTAGAAGCAGAAGCAGAAGACGAAGAAAAAAAGTAAGGTTTTACGAACGTTGCAAATTAATTGTCATCAAAAAACCGCAAAGACAGTCGTAACTGTTGGAGAGAAAAAAAGAGGAGCAGGTTCATTAAGCATAACGTTATGACGCGATAAATCATTACGCAGTGTAAATTGTGGATTCAGTCGGACGTAAACAAAAGAAACGGAACGATAAAGAGAAAGATGGGCATGGCTATGTATGCGTGTGCGCCGCACTAGCGGGTGGAAGGAAACATTTTCATTCCACTATTGACACTATCTCTCGTCAGCCGTATAAAGATACTCTTAAAGAAGTAATAATAGACGATCACGCAACGGCGGCTACAAAAAAATGCTCCTATTTCGTTAGAGGCAAAAGCCAACTCTTCAAGCGATTTCTACCGCTAACTTTTCAGTCGACGTCTTTCTTTTCGCGAGAGGCTAATATGACTCTCCTCGTCGTCGGCTCGCTCGTCGTGCGCAGAAGAGCCACTCCGTTCTCGGGTGCATTCTGACTCGCTCGAACTTCGTCAGCGCCGTGGGAGGACGGGAAGGGATCGAGAGGGAAGAGATAAACGACCGGTCGAGTGAGAAGGAAGAGGGCTGCAAGACGAAGATAATCTAACAGAGAGTGAATGAGTGAGTGAGATAGCGAGAGGGTGCGCGCCTTGATATTGCGCTTGACAGCGACAAGGAGATGCCTATCGAGGCCAAAGAAAGCCCGAGTCATACGTACGAGGGTGAGAGAAATAGAATGAGTCAGACGGAGAAGGAAAGGAGGAATAAAAAAGCAGCGTGGCCAGCAGCAAGAGCGACTGATGGAGAGAGAGAGAGAGAGAGAGAGAGAGAGAGAGAGAGAGAGAGAGAGAGAGAGAGAGAGAGAGAGAGAGAGAGGTAGATTGATAGAGCGAGCGGGAGAGGGAGATGAGACAGAGCGAGGCAAGTCGGTAAGGACGACGAGGACCGTGCGAGAGAAGACGGCCATGCAATGCACAGTCCTGAGGCAACGTGGCCAGCGCACAGTACAGTTTGACAGACCAGTCGGAGAAGATAGCGTATATATATTTCTCTCTCTCTCTCTCTCTCTCTCTCTCTCTCTCTCTCTCTCTCTCTCTCTCTCTCCTCTTTCCGTCTTCTGTTC